TACAGAAGTGAAAAAAGTTGCAGTTTCCCTCTCATCCACTACGGGGTTGGCTCCAGAAAGGAGCAAGTTCCCATTAGGCACGTTTCCATTGTCAGAACTTCAGGGTAAATTCTGGGACGGGGAAATCTACGCCAGCATATTGCCTGTTCATCAAACTTTGCTGCTTTAGCTGTGAATGATGTCACTGTCAGCGCAAAAAGTATCCAAAGTAACGTTTAAAGTTGTATTCTATCGATGTACAGATTTAATCCATTCGGAGGACAATAGCAACTGTCTCATGTAAATTGTGGCATTCGGTGACCAGAAGACGCGTAGTTTTTTTACGGCGCTGTGTGAAACAACAAAGCTCTGTGGATTACGTCATTGTGGTGGGATTCTGCCGTGTTTTCCGTGTCGGGAGTTTAGTAACGGCAATTTTAAAGCAGTGCGATTTGTGCTTATTTGTTTGTGCTTCCATTTAGCTTCATAAACAACTCTTCTACCTTTACTAATGCCAGTTGTTTTGGATGATGTCTGCTGATGCAGGGTTTTCCCCAGCGCTTGCTTGGCCACCTGCCAGGTTAAGCGTCATGCCCCGCCTCCCTCCCCAACCCTACCGTGTCCGCTGACACGAACGGCGCAATGAAACTAGAGCCCTCCATGAGCTGTTAGAAACAGCAGCTTCCATCAGCTGGTGAGAAACAGCAGCGGGATGTGTGCAACCCCCCCACCCCACGGAGGAGCGCTGCGGGACAGAGAGTGCACCCCCACTCCCCGAATCCACCAGGCTTAACTCATTTTCTGGGGGAAACCCTGTGAGGTTGAGCGGGTTGTCCAGTAATCGGAAGGTTGCAGGTTCGATCCCGGCTCTGGACAGAGAATTCTGTTGTTGTGTCCTTGGGCGAGACACTTAACCCACCTTGCCTGCTGGTGGTGGTCGGAGGGACCGGTGGCACCTGTTCTTGGCAGCCTCGCCTCTGTCAGTGCGCCCCACTGGAGCTGTGGCTACATTGTAGCTCATCACCATCAATGTGTGTGTGAATGGATGAATGATACACTGCGTTGTAAAGCACTTTGGAGTCCTTACTCTCAGAGGCACTATACAAGTGCGGGTCATAAAAATGCTAACTTCACAGCAGAAGTAACCATGTTAAGAGCCTGGTGCAAAAACATGTTAAGTTTAATACGTCAAGTTTACCATCATAACAACTGTGAGGAGGGAGTGTTTTTGTAACTCATGAGTTTAGGTGCAATTAAATCTTGATATTATGAATAATTAGGGGAGTGTCCATTTGATTGACAGGTAGTAGATAGCCGTCATCGCTAGCCCTAGCAGCTTGCTCCGGGGAAGGCCTCAGCAGAGTCGCTAACTGCGGTTTTCTGGCTAAAAGCACCTGCTAACCTCCATTAATTTTGGTTAGCTGGTTGTTTCATCACCTCAGAGTTTGATGGGTGCCTCCACCGTCACAGCCCCGCTCTCAGCTCCATCTTTGCATTTTTCAGTATGGCTGAAATAGTGGTAGTGGGAGCTGCCCATTGGCCTTCAATTCAGCTCTTCATAAACCTACAGGTGAAGTAACGGAGCGTTCTTCCAATATATATACTGTCATTGGTCTGCTCACACACGTCTGCATGACGGTTATTTAAAACACCAAGTGAACCACAGAAGAGACCAGCCAGAAATCCTCCTCTATACTTTTCTATAGATGTGTGTACAAAGAGAAAACAAAATCAAAGTTTAAATAGGCGGGGTACTAGCAACACAGGGAGGATGTTAAGGACAATGTTTGAAAGTGTGTGTGTGTGTGTGTGTGTGTGTGTGTGTGTGTGTGTGTGTGTGTGTGTGTGTGTGTGTGAATGAGCCTGGAAAGGATGATGTTTTGGTTCTAAAAACATCTCTGTGGAAATAACAGTTAGTAGCCATAAACGCTAATTCCCCCATCCGTCGCTAATGATTCAATAATTGAATAAGCTCAAAAACTGAGTCAAAACCACTCCAACAGTGGCTCCACCATGACGGCAGAGAGACCGTCCCTGAGACAGGACGAAACAGACACGCTGAGAGGACGCACTTCAACCTCTCAAATAGCTCTGTGATAGCTGCTGAAGGAGCGTGCTCAGACAGTCAGGAAGCACTGGAACACAATCTGAACAATGGTTAAAGAGTCATCACGGTGCTGCTTCTCAAGCTGTCGGGAAAGTTGGAGTAGCCATCCAGTCTGACCACTGTCACCTGCTGCCTTAACGACTGTATGATAGGGAGGACATGACGAAGCCAGAGAGACAGGAATGTAAAAGGAAGAGACGATAACACCAGAGGCCCCCCTTCAACAGGCAGAGTGGGGTTGATGCTTAAAAAAAAGATGGCTGAGGGTTGTTGAAAGCACTGACTGTTGATGGATGAAGGAAGAAAGGAAGGGAGGTGGTGACAACAAGAGAGATGGCAGATGAAAAGGCAAAAATTGCTGTAAAGAAAGAAAGGACAGGCAGCATGCTGAAAGTGGCGAGTAATTTTTATCTTATAGAAATGATATTTTCTTCTTTTCTTCTTCTTAAAAAGAGATTAAGAGAAAGACAGAGAGCCTTTCCCGCTGTTAGAGTGATTAGGTGACTGAGATCCTTCCTTTAAGCAGGAAATATGATCATATTTACTTAACTTCTTATTTCTATTTGGTACACGTTTAAAAGGGTACTAGGCAGTTTTGGCTTGCTTTTAGCACCCCCTAGTGTTCTGTTAGTGAAACCAAAAGTGAAACTCCTCATCTTTGTTTACAATTTCTTCCAGGGTAGTGCTCCCCCCTATCTAGCCACACTACTGAACAGACATTCCCCATCACACGCTCTGCGCTCCTCTGACCCAAGGCCTGCTCGCTGTCCCTCGTTCTAGGTGTGGTACTCGTGGGGACCGGGCTTTCTCCGTCCTAGCACCGTCACTCTGGAACCAGCTGCCAGCCTCAGTCAGGCTGTTCCCATCTCTGCCAGTCTTTAAGAGTCACCTAAAAACACACCTCCTCCGCCTGGCATTCCCTGAACGTGTTTGAGTTTGGCCCTCTTTTATGTTGAATTTATTTCCCTGCTTTCACTGGTCTCTTTATCCCTTGTTTTATCCATTTGTTTTCTACTTGAATGTTTTACCTGTTTTTGCACTTTTTTGAATTGCTTTTATTATCAATTTATTCATCATGTTTCACATTTCTCATGTACCGTGTTCAGCGCCTTGGGCTTCCCGACAGGGTCGCGGAAGGCGCTTTATAAATAAAGTTTTGATTGATTGATTGAAACTTATCTCCTCGCTGTGCACCTTAATTTAACAGCTGCAATGTCTCCTGAGCCTTAATTAGTGTCTACAGAAGTGATTCATCACTAAATCAAACAAATCAGCTGTGTTCATGATCACATGCAGGAAATGTGCTGAAAGCCGACTGCAGCGCCAGGTATGTCTGCTCCATTTTACTAAGACTAAAGTGAACCCTAACAGTGACTGGACCGGCACTCTGAAGTTGCAAGTGCAATATTCTGGCCACAGAGGGCGGTGGGGGTCTGATTGGCATTTAATTAACCCTGTAAAGGGTCATTTTAGGTCATACTGGCTCAAGAAAATGATTTAAATTTTGAAAAATGTTGCATAGTATGGCTTTAATACTAAAATTCACATTTCTTTTTAGCTTTTGCTTTAAATTCAAATCAAGTCCTTCCCAAGAATGAAAATAATTCAGATTCAGAACTTTCTGTGTAATATCACGTATGGTTTCGCAGAAAAAGGCAGAAAGAAGTTTTATGGTCTTGGTTTCAAACGTTTGTTGTTCTCAGTCTTGATCCTTTGACCAGCACCTCCAGGGATTATGAATGACAAAGACAGATTATAACCAGCAATCACAAAAAAGTTTGTCTCAAAATATTATCCTTGCTCTTGTGTCGCTGTAGTTTTGAATACAACAACCATTGCAGGTGTCTGTTCAGTTTTGGTGAGTTAGTCAGAAAAGGCAAGAAATGCTAGACAATGTTGGGAGGAGTGAATGAAACAAAGTCACGTCTTGTTGGAAAAAACTAAAAGAAAATCTGAGATTCCAGACGTGAGGCAAAAATGTGAATAAAATGAAGATAACTGCAAACAAATCACGACAAAATTGAAAAACTCTGTGACTAAACTCTGAGGACACTTTTGGATGAACTGGTGTTGTATGTACGATTTCATTGTGATTCCAGCAGAAGGTTTGCACATTTTCTCACTATTTTGCTTCTCTGACTAGTTACTACCCAGTAAGATACTAGTCCTCCGTTGGAAATTAAACAGATCACTAAGTCAAGAGCTTTTGCCCTTCACCACGACAGACTGGAGCTCTGCCCTCTTTTCTGGAGACAAAGCCCTGATCCGTTTTTCCATCTCCTACCATCACTTATAAATGAGACATCAACACACCTAAACTCCTCTACTAGAGCTGCTGGAGACTGGCTCCCAACCTGGAGAGAGCAAGTCATGCCCTGATGGGAGTATTTAATCAGACACAGACAAACAATCAACCTTCATGTCATTTTTAAGCACAATAGCTGTTGCTTTTCTTTCAAGCTGGCTGAATCCATCACTCAAGGAGCTTGGGCCGGTCCACGAAGATTTGGTTGACAGAAATTGAATTATTTTTCCTTCCATCCTTACCATCTTTTAATGGGAGACAAGCTGCATCACAAATTGGCCGAGTGTATAACTGACAAGGAGACTCTACTGTGTGGTGAGAATGGCCGAGAGAGTCATCAGGGTCTCACTTCTTTTCCTTAGAGTTAGTTTTCAAGGACAGATGTGAGAAGTAAGCCCTCAGTACTGTAGGTGAGCCCCTGCTCATGAAGTGGTAACCCCAACCATCAGGAAGACACTCCGCTGAATCAGAAAAATCCAGAATGTGCAACAGCTAAACTCAGCTAACAACAAGGCTGCTAGATCTCATGTAACATATGTGTGTGTGTGTGTGTGTGTGTGTGTGTGTGTGTGTGTGTGTGTGTGTGTGTGTGTGTGTGTGTGTGTGTACCTGTCTATGGTCCAGGAGGTGACGTTATGTGGGATGTCAGCTGTGTGTGTCTTCCAGGGCCCACTGGGCAGCTCCATAAACTGCAGAGTGAAATATCTCAGTGGACAGGAGCCCGAGCTTCCTGCGAACCAGTAGAGATGGAGTCTGCAAGATTCAACCTCATCCTGAGGAACGGACAGCTTTCTGGGAGGCACGGGACGCTCTGAGGAGAGAGCGCGGGAAAGAGAAAGACAAATAGATAGGAAATGAAAAAGAAGCACAAAAAATGCAATTGTTTTTTACTTTTAAACCTTGATGTAAACATGTTTTGTTAATATTCTGGATTATTACTTTTTACTGATATGCCAAAAACACTCTGAATGAGTCAAGTCGTTCTAAAACATAACGTAAAACAGGAAATGAGATTGAATATTTAACAGCAAAGAAAAAGACCCAAACAGCTGATGAGTTTGTGCTTGCTGAATGACAGGAGGCTTCTCTGATTACATCGTGTCTGAACTTTATACCCAGAGCTCTAATCGTGGAAACCTCTAATGGTTCCCTTGGTTATAATCATCTTGAGTAAAGGATGACTAGCCACACAATAATTAAAATAAACGACTTTTATCTGCTCCACTGGAATATTTTATCACCATATTTTTTCTGTCTTAGTTATAATTATCTACACATCCGGAAAAGGCATCTGAGGAATTAGAGAAGCACAAGAAATACTTCAGATTGGAGGACTATTTACTTAACTCTTTTCTTCATTACATAAAGTTTGAATCGTGTATTAATTATTTTTCAGGAAACGTTCTTTCACCATAAAGCGACTAACTTAAGCACTTTAATGTATTTATAAAAAACCTGTCTTACCTATGGATACTAAAGTGGACCATTATCCAGCTAATAGCATTCACGCATGTGCACTGCAGTGCACTGAAATTTCAGCAGGACGAGACATTTAATTACTTCAGCATCAACAAAACAATTTCTCAAAACCCCACAATTGTGTGTGTGTGTGCGTGTGTGTGTGTGTGTCTGCACTATTCAATTACAAAATGAAAGATGGCTCTGAGAGACAGTGTCTATATATGACTGAGTTCACAGAAGCTTTGTGATAAGTAGACCTCAACACACACACACACGCACACACACATGCTGGCACACACAGTCAGTGACTAATTTCAGGTTATCGATCAGATTGAGGAATAAAAGTATCATTGATTGTTTCTGAAGTTTAATTAATCTGCATTTATTTTCTCAATAGTGCACAACCACTGACACACACACACACACACACACACACACACACACACACACACACACACACACACACACACACACACACACACACAGGCTTGGCCCCCTTCACTCCTCCTAATCAAAAGTAATTTGAGTCAGGCCTGTTTGTTTCTCTGAGCGAGACAACATTGTTCCCATTCCCTTTAAGATCAGACTTGTTTATCCTCCTTAGTCTTTCTGATGCCATCTGTTTCTCCCTGCCTGTTCTGCTTTTGTTCTGATCCATAGTTAAGATCATGTTCTGATAATTGCCCCATAATTGTGAGAACAACAGAGGCTTTTCAGTATGAACACATTGTTGCAACAGAAAGGAAATCCAAAAAAAAAAAAAAAAAAAAAAGGGATTTAGGCAAAAGGAGGGGGATGTCACTGAAGAAAGGGAGAGACAAGGAGTGGAAATCTAAATTTAGGTCAACAGGCTATTTTACCAATAACATAATTAGTTATTAGTGCTTAAAGGCAATCGCGAACGTTGATGAATCTCTGCAGAATAGACACACACACACACACACACACACACACACACACACACACACACACACACAAAGACCTTTTCATTCCCACCAGGGGCTGGTCTCTTCAGCATCATCAGAAAGAAAATCTCTATGAGACGTTTATGTCTGTTTCAAAGAAAGAATGAACCATTATGTTACTGAAGTGGAACAGAGAACCAATGAGTCCCATTATCAAAAGATTCCGATAATGATGCTGTGAAAATTTCAATATCTGATTCAATTAAAATGCATTAGAAGAGATGACACGAGATGGTGATCTGGGGTTTCCAGATTAATTAACCTTAGGTTTTATTTGAATACTTTTGAAGCATTTCAGTTCTGTGGTGTAGGAGGTGACATGATAAATTAAAGCAAATAAACAAAGGAAAGCAGGAGACCTCATCTAATATCCTGTATTAAAATTCGTAAAAAAAATATATATATATATTTTCGAGCTTTGGCTTGACAACTTACCAGACTGACTGTGACCTAATTATTGATTTAACCTTTAGAATAACTCACTTTAACCCAGATTTAGCTTGTCTATATCAACTATATTATTATTGGTTGATATTATTACCTGCTCATAATCTATCTCTTGAATGAGTTTAACATGCTTTTTAATAACGTTTTACCATTTATTAGGTGTGAGAATTTAATGTGTTGATTACAAATAATTAGAAAAAAAGAAAGCATTAAAAATATTACCCCTTTGAGCTCGAGTGCCCCCATGTGGGGTCGGAAAGGTTTATGCCCTATAAATCAATAAATGTCATCAAGCTGCACAACTAACAAAACTGCAGAGGCTGGGCTACAACACCATTTAAACATTTTTTACACACTCCAAACAAAACTAGAACTAAAAAAAAATTATAGTGACAAATTGCTCTTCATGAAGAAAAGGAATGAAAAAAAGTCACCTATTTTCCTGTTATGTTTTCTAGTTGGTAGAAAGCAGGCAGACAGTAACTTTATCCATCTGAACTTTAATACAGCAGGACGGACAAGCACACACACAGAATTCATCTGGTAACCCCCAGCAGAACTTCCCCTGAACTCTACACTACACCTCTCTCTCTCTCTCTCTCTCTCTCTCTCTCTCTCTCTCTCTCTCTCTCTCTCTCTCTCTCTCTCTCTCTCTCCACATATACATATATATACATACATGTATATATATGTGTATATACATGTATGTATATATATGTGTATATACATATATATATATACATGTATGTATGTATATATATTATATATACATATATATATATATACATATATATACACATTTATATACACATATATATACACATACATATATATACATACATGTATATATATGTATACATATGTATGTATATATATATATATATATATATATATATATATACATACATACATACATACATATATTTATATATATAGTGGTGTGAAAAATTATTTGCCCTCTTCCTGATTTCTTATTCTTTTGCATGTTTGTCACACAAAATGTTTCTGATCATCAAACACATTTAACCGTTAGTCAAAGATAACACAAGTAAACACAAAATGCAGTTTTGAAATGATGGTTTTTATTATTTAGGGAGAGAGCAAAATCCAAACCTACATTGCCCTGTGTGAAAAAGTAATTGCCCCCTGAACCTAATAACTGGTTGGGCCTCCCTTAGCAGCAATAACTGCAATCAATCGTTTGCGATAACTTGCTACGAGTCTTTTACAGCGCTCTGGAGGAATTTTGGCCCACTCATCTTTGCAGAGTTGTTGTAATTCAGCTTTATTTGAGGGTTTTCCAGCATGAACCGCCTTTTTAAGGTCATGCCATAGCATATCAATAGGATTCAGGTCAGGACTTGACTAGGCCACTCCAAAGTCTTCATTTAGTTGTTCTTCAGCCATTCAGAGGTGGATTTGCTGATGTGTTTTGGGTCATTATCGTGCTGCAGCACCCAAAATGGCTTCAGCTTTAGTTGACGAACAGATGGCCGGACATTCTCCTTCAGGATGTTTTGGTAGACAGTAGAATTCATGGTTCCATTTATCACAGCAAGCCTTCCAGTTCCTGAAGCAGCAAAACAACCCCAGACCATCAAACTACCACCACCATATTTTACTGTTGGTATGATGTTCTTTGTCTGAAATGCTGTGTTACTTCTACGCCAGATGTAACGGGACATTTGCCTTCCAAAAAGTTGAACTTTTGCCTCATCAGTCCACAAGGTAGTTTCCCAAAAGTCTTGACAATCATTGAGATGTTTCTTAGCAAAACTGAGACCAGCCCTAATGTTCTTTTTGCTTAACAGTGGTTTGCATCTTGGAAATCTGCCATGCAGGCCATTTTTGCCCAGCCTCTTTCTTATGGTGGAGTCGTGAACACTGACCTTAATTGAGGCAGGTGAGGCCTGCAGTTCTTTAGAAGTTATACATACGTACACACACACATATATATATGTGTGTGTGTGTGTGTGTGCATATATATATATATATATATATATATATATATATATATATATATATGTGGGTGTGTGTATATATCGGCTTTAGATATCGGCCATCGGCAACAAAATTCTTTAAAAATCAGTATGGGCATCGACCTTAAAAAACCCATATCGGTCAGCCTCTGGTTCATACTGCACTCGCTTTCAAAAACATCAGATATGTGTCGGAATTAGTACCACATATTCAAGTGATGGCGGATCGCACGGATAGCATTTTAAAAAGATGGTTCTGTGCATTAAGACAGTCATAAAAAAATCCGATATGACTCGCACGTGGGGAAAAATGCAGATTTAATCCGCTTCTGCCTGCAGTGTGAACGTAGCCTTACATTATTTTTCGATTTAAAAAATTGCTTGGGAGCAAATAGTCTTGAACGATTAAAATGCAAATGATCAAGATTAATTCATTACAAAGCCTCTGATTAATTAGTTTAGTTTTTAATCGAGCCCACACATATTATTTAGGTAGAAAGAATACAACACCAAACAATTGCTCATTTTTAATGCATGAGATAAACATTTTAACAGTTTTTTTTACACTGAGCAAATGATGTTGTAATAGTGATAAAGTATAAACATACTATGACACTCATTAGGACCACCCAGAAGAATAAAATGAAGAGAAAAAGCAGCAAAAAAGGGAGGAGACTTGGTGAGACAAAAGCAATTCTGACCTCTGATTCAGAAAGCTAGACTTCTCATTTGTTCAGTACTGAAAGTAAAAAAGACATCTCTCTGATCTTTTTAGAGAAAAAAATCTGTTTTTTTCCCCCAGTGGTTATTTTTTATTGGAAAGGAAAAGTCTTCTGTCTCACACCTTTAGAGTAAGAACAGCAGGATAAAATCTGTCAGTGATGAACATCATATATCTCACCATAGAAATGAGCGGTCACACTCTAAGACTTTTGATTGTTGCTCTTTATTCTTTTACAATGAGACCACTGACTGGTAACATTAGACCACATGTTACAGGGAATTAACAGCATGTTCTCTGCCCTAAAAATATAATTGGCATGATTGCAGGGTTATTGACAGAACTGTTGATCGGTATTAATTGCTCCTGTTTGGAAAAAAAGATTGATGGTGTGCAGGTAAGACTGCAGGCTTGTTTTCTAACCAGTAAAACCTGGATTTTTTTCATCATCCTCCCTAATTAACTGTACATTGTCCATCTGTCCACTACAGATGACAGAAAATGAACCAGAGTGGTGAAATCATGGGTGAAAAAGGCAAACAATGAAATTTCAAGCACAACAGAAACTTATTTGGTCTGGTTCAGACCTCCTCAGGCTTATTATTTTTAAATTCCTAACCATACCTCTACAGGAGAGCTAGTCCCTGCTGCGTTTAATATCCACATCTATGGCAAAGTCCACTGGAGTCTATAAATGTCATTTCATCTTGTTCTGTACTTTTATATTACCCCTCACACTTAAAAGGTCGTACTTTCAATCTTGTGATCATTTTTTGTGCCCAGTAACGATGGACTATACATGGCTGTCTTCATACTACTTGTTGGTGAGACACTAATAATGAATATAAAGATTCAGCCTGCCTTTCTATATCTGACCTCTATCGTAGCCAGGACTTTACATAAACCATGATGCATGACATCTTCTTCTCTATGAGCCTGTAACCTTTTAAAACGCCAACCAGCTCTTTTAGACACTTCCTGGGCTTTTTACACGTATGCATTTATGTCCAAGTCATGCCTATTTAAAAATTGACAAGAAAAGCAGGACAAAGAAACAAAACTACATCATTAAGATATTTAAATGACTGCTTGTTGATGATGTACTAGAAAGAGTATTTTTTTTTTACAAATGAAAACTGGTAGATGAGCCTCTATATAGCAGATTAAACTTTGCTGGGGCTCACAATGGCCCAGGAGTCCTGATAAATGGCCAAACATTACCCATAAAAAGACTGATTTACCCCACCCACTTGGCCAGAACATGAATATTAAATGAGCTGCAAGCTGATTGGCCAGTTTACCTCGATGGCTCTATGATGCTGCCTAAAGCTATTAATTCTGTGTTCTGTGTGTGCATGGGGTCGTACACATACACAAAGGAGGAAGTGAGTGTCAGACCAGCGGATGTTTGCAGGAGTGTGGATGACCGACGAACAAAGTGACTAGTTGGCAGATGTAGCAGGGATTTGCAAACAAATGTGGGTGTGATGTACCACACTACATGGGAAATGAAGGGTCAAAATGAACAGTCTGGATGGCTGAGAACGTTCACCTGCATGCTTAAACCTCCCACATTTCCCTCTGAAGACTTTTATTTATATTTACAGCACCCCAGTTATGTGTGAATTAAATTTGAGTCTAATTATGGTGTGATGACAATTTCCCATGTGGAATCAGTACAGTGAGACTGCATAAACTCCACTGATTACTGATCAAAGCTTCTAATCTCACACCACTTTTTGTAACGACTATTATAATTCCCCGAAATAAACCCAGCCTTTTTCTTAGTGTTCTGGTTCAAAGTCATGCAACAATATTACTATATTATTATTTATATATATATATATATATATATATATATATATATATATATATATATATATATATATATTTAATTTTTATTCCATCTTCCCTAAATGACACGACACCTTCACACACACACACACACACACACACACACACACACACACACACACACACACACACACACACACACACACACACACACACACACACTAAACTAGCTGAAACCAGAAGCATCATCATCAGTGAACCAGCCACATACTGTTTAATACAAACAGAGCAAAAGATCCATCCCTGCAGGTTTTTCTTCACAGCATCATTTGAGTCAGCATAGGAGGAAAAGTTCAGGCACAAGAACTAGCATTCATAATGATCCTGTTTCAGGTTTAAACTTTTATCGGTGAGTCTCTATGCCAGGACCTGGACTTGGCACACCTGATTTCAGCCATCATTAAAAGGTGCAGCTTGGAGCACTCTGCTGCTCTCTTTGCTTTATAAGTTCATATCTGTTGCACCTCCCTTTGAATGCTATATTTTATAGCAGTGGGAAAGTTTCAGATGTATGAAGTCTTAATGCCTCATAAGGATTCAACTTTGTTTGACTTGTTGTCATGGAGATTAATTTTTGTCATTGACGTAACTGATAGTGCTGATAAATTATAGTCTCATTCACTTGCTTTTTCCGTTAAACATAGTCTTTAGTATAAATGCATCCCTTGTGAGACACGCTCTGCTCTCTCCTGGCCCTAAAATACACACAAACTTCCACCATCACAAGCCAAGGTGGGCATGGCCATGAATGCTAATTTCCCCTGTGATGTATAAGAGACTCTTTTTTCTGACCCGAGCATTTTCTGTTTTCTTTCTGCAGCTAATGCAGGCATCAGGGGCTGGAGAAAATGAAGTTCAGCATGCACGTGAAGCTCAGAGGGACCGATCGTATTTCGTTTGTCAGTGAACAACGTTTAGGAGAATTTGGCACAAGAGACAGATTTTTCCCAAAAATCAGAAATGTTAATGGGCTAACCTATGATCTAAATCATAAGAGAGACTTTATTTACCTCTCCGCTCTGTGGTTACCACCAGGGCGTCCTGTGGCTCGCCCCAACCCACCGCAGTGCGAGCCGTGAGCTGGAACCTGTAGGTCTGCTCAGAGGAGAGTCCGGTGACGGTGAACTGCCGAGCGTTGGAGCCCACCTCCACTGTGGTCCAACGCAGCGGGTTCCTGCTGTCAAGGCGGTAGGATATCTGGTAGCCTAGCCAGGAACACAGAAGGTAAAAATCTGTGAAAAAAGTATGCATCTAAATCTGATTCAGTATGTTTCTGGTTCCATCAGGAATCCAAAAAAATCAACAATGAGACAATTTCACCAAAAAAGCGTATGCTTTTTCATGACCTATACTGTCAGTAAGAGAAAAGGTGACATATGGAGCTCTTCTACTGAATAAAGGCATCATTTTGATGCTGAGCTTCAGTGCTCCCACTGTTTCACACGTCTTTCACTAACTATCACTAATACTTTCACTAATTATATAAACACACAACTTCTCCTCAGTAACCTTGGCAGTGACCCATGGTGTACACGCTTGTGTCTGTTTCTCGGTCTCAAGTGCAGTAGGCCATGTAATAACACTAACATCCCTGAACACACACTCAAACCACTGATCCCCATCCCAGCTCTCCACAGGCCACTGACCACTCACAATGTCTTATATTACAAGGATCATATTGTACACCAAACACACAGACACCCCGCGTGTCAGCAAACTGGTACACTACACAACTAAGATGATGGGATTAGGTCATGCTGAGGTGGTCGGAATAATACTCAGCTCAGAGGAACCTAATCTGCTTGTGTGAGTGATAATCTCATCAAATAATCTGATTGTATGTTAATGTGGCCTCTGTGTGTGGAAGAATATAGGATAACAGCCAGATTACAAACAACTGGGTCGAGACACAGCAGAGTACTGGGCAAAATATCATTAGGTCTTCACTGCTGTGTGGTGCCCAAGGCTAAATCTGGGTCACAAGAAGGAACTGTGTCATGTTAGCAACTCAAAAAATGTGTAACACAAATGTCAACACGCACACATCCACACATATGCAGCTGCTGTGATAGATTCTTCTTGTTTTACCTAAATTAAAGCTACAGCTCCTGTTTAATGTTATACCATTGGGTTTAATGGGTTAATAAACCCAATTTTCTGACAAACGCACTTCATTACATCTCCAGCTACAAACTTTTTACTTTCTTTAAAGTAGTACGACTACTAGTTTGTCTGTTTATCTTTTTGTGTGTCTGCTCTGTCTTCTCAAACCCCCAGCTGGTCATGGCGGACGGCTGCTCATACTGAGCCAGGTTGTTTGGGGTTTCTTCCTGTTAAAAGGAAGTTTTCCTCTCCACTTTCGCTACATGCTTGCTTAATATGGGGAAAAGTCACTGACCCGTGGTGGCTGGTGAATTTTTGTTTTGGTGGGGCGCATTTTTGCGTCAGTTTTTTTTAGATGTGTTAACTACTAATCACCACTAGGGAACGCTAGATTACCATTCTTATGCGTCACACAAATTTAACCCAACAAACCACTACCAAGTCAACGAGCACTTCCAGCAACAAAGTTGTTCCAAACACATGCTTAATATTCATCAATATATGCAAACTGCACATGTACTTAACAGAAAGAGCCTTATCTAAATGACAGAGTCCATGTTTTCTACCTCAACAACACTCAAAGACAATAAGCCACTAAATGAAAGGCAAAACAGCACTAATGTCATTAAGTCAAAGCGTAAACTCATTCTTACCTTTGCTAGGTTACAGTCATACTAATCTGTGTTATAGTACAAAAAAAAACAATCCACTCGGTTCGTGTAATCTTTTGTCCCAATGTCACACTGAGCTGATTTCTGACTGTTTAAGGCTTTTGTACCTGCTGAAGAGTGTTTACAAATCTCCAACGCCACATTTTATAGTTTTTTGATTCTCCATAATACAAAAACTCTGCGGGGTGTACTCAGTTGCTTTACAACAAACAAGAACAATGTCTGATTTAAGTCTGATTTAAATATATTTATCCTCACGTTTGTTAATATACAACTGTATATCCCAATAGGCTTCAATAAACTGGAGCAACACATTTGTAGAGAAAATATTGTTTTTCAGCCATGGTTATTTAAAAACCTCTGTTGTTTCAGACTGAAATCAGTGATTGGGCTGTCAAACTGTCCTCACTTGGATCACACCCATCTGTGTGTACTCATTGTGCACAAAACACGAATGCTAGATTCAGCTGCAAAATGAGGCAGAATGGAGAAGAGCAGGCCCCTGAAAGAGAAGTCGAGAAGCAGCAGTCTACTTCAGCATCTTCTCCTTTGTGCAAAACAACCAGAGGCATACGTTGTGATTTAAAACACTGCGGCAGGTCAACAGCACTCTCCTTCTCCAGCTGAGAGAAGGTTATAACTTTGGAAGGAGCTTGGGGGTGAAGAGGGAGGAAACTGTTGACCTGTTTTGATTGAAAATATCCCTTTATCTTGCAATTGGGGAAACACAGAGCACTGCAGCTTTAAGAGAGTCAGCGTTCGTCTAAAACATTGGAACATGCAGTACATTTCTGTGTTGCTACATTTCTTGTTTGCTTTAAAATAAAAAAGGTCACTCGAACATCAAGGACTGAAATGTTAATTTCAAAATGAGCAAGTTTCTTTAGATATTTTTCTAAGTTTTGCACAATTTAAACCTTACACAAGACCTATGAGGATGTAGTTTAAGAAATTTAACACATCAATAAAGCAGCAATCTGGAGTTTTCCCTCTTTAACTCATTTAATCCCTTGATGACTAAAGTCGTCACTTGCATTTTTTTTACTGTGTGGGCGTCGGAACGAGCCCCCGCACCGTGAGAACAAACTTTACAGCTCTAAAGCTGATCTTAATTCGTATTTGTCACGTCACGTAATCAGGAAGCAGAAAATCCATGTGTTAGGAGATCATTTTGAGCCGCTGCTGTGAAAAAAGTGAGGTGCGAACCGGAAAAGCTTCTGCCGATCACAATTCGACAACAGATTATGAATGGATAACACTAGAAACACGCAGATTCTTGCTGATGTAAGAAATGAGCCTACTCTTTGTTTTGGTAGTTTGGGCGTTGACAAAATCATAGAGCAGAAGGTTTTGTGACTCTTCAAAAAAAAAAAAACAGTACAAACACTCAAAAAACGCTGGCAGCGAAAGGCTCTTCTGATCAGGAAACGACCGGTAGTTAGTGAGTTAAGGAATCATGTATGATTTGTTTAGAAATCCGTAAAAGTGATAGTGTTACATTGTATTGTGGTATAATCATAGAGTGTGTGCGCAGGTTTGCAAAAGTACTTAGACTGATGCAGGGTTGGTGACATTTCTCAAGGAAAGTAAGTTTAAAGCATGCATGTATGTGTGTGTGCAAATAAACAGCGTAACTATGAGAATAATAGTAGTAAAACATTGTGTTTTAGCTCTTTTGACTGACTAGAGGTGTGATTCACGAGCGAAAGGTGTTGCTTCCTAGGGTTGGGCATCGAGCATCGATGGAACCGGTTCCAACTGTTCATTTTTCCCGGAATCGCTCAACGTTTTTTATTTCGATTCCTAGAGTGCCGACGGAAGAGGAATCCGCGGCTGATATCCGTGAAAAATAAATGTGATCTGCAAATTGTGATCAACGCTTTTCAGAGCTGATCACACCAGCTGTCTGTGTGCAGCACCGAGTCTCCTCCCCCCACCCACCCTGCACGCAGCGGCCAAATATAAACAAACGCGTCTGCCGAACTTTTACTCCGTAACCTAAACTTTAACTCCTGCAGCGTAGAGGAAACTTGTTAAAATACGTCAACACGGTGGATTTAATAGAAGCTTTAAAGAACAAACTCTGGACGGTGTGAGGTGAGTTTGTCTCACTGCAGAAATAAAAACACACACGGAGCGTTAGCAGTCAGACGCAGCCGTGTGAGCGTCAGAAGGCTGAACAATAACCTGTAGAATAATTAAAGTCATCATGCTAGAGAAGCTTCTCTGTGGTGGACCACACCAGCTTCTGCCACAATAAATAATAACAACAACAACAACAACAACAATAATAATAATAATAATAATAATTATTATTATTATTATAATAAATCACACAAAGCTGTGAACATTTTAATTTCCTTTCTGAACTGTTTCTGTTGAGAGTTTTATGCTTATAATCTGTTAGGTTGTTACTGACAGCAGCTACATTTAAGTTCCACTTCCTGTTGTGACTGAATGCTGCTGCAGCATGGAGGTGTAGTTCTCAGTCATCCTGGACATGATCATCCTGAGAGTTTTAGCTGAAAACAGCTGGACGTTTCTGGATATGTTGGAGACATTTAGCCTCTCATCCCAGAGGCTGCTTCCAGACGTTGGTTGTGGTCAGAAACAAACACACTGGTTGTGCTGCAAGTCTTTTTCTTTTTTTCTCCAAAACATGTTTTTGTCTAAATGAAGGTGATGTTGTTGTTCATAGAGTTAAAATTCATGTTGAAGTTAAGATTTCTTCTAGTAGGATCGTGGTTAGCTGGCTCATGTAAAACATGTCATGTCTTCAAAGAATCTGAATCGGGAATCGATAGGAACCGGAATCGAAACGAGGAATTGGAATCAGAATTGTTCAAAATCAAACGATGCCCAGTCCTATTGCTTCCAGCTGTAATCACAGAAGTAGGCAGAGGGGCCTAAGGTGCAATACATTTTTCCACCTCTAGGTGGTGTTCTCTGAGAAAAAAAAACATCAATTTTTCTACCTTTTGAGATGAGCTCGATATTTTATTTGCCTGTATAGAAACACCACATATTAGAATCTTGATCATCAATGATTATGGAAACATTTCAAAGCTTTTATTTGCACCTGAGATGCTCATTTGTTTGTGCAGAGGCGCTCTGAGGAAACACGGATGTCTCGTTGCACCGTGCCAAATCAGATTGTGCACCTTCTGTGTTATTGTTTCTCCTCTGTCCACCGTCTGTGACAGTCCTCCACCGGGGAGTCAAGGAGAAACGAGCCAGCCACGATAATCAGCCCTACAGGTATGTGTATCTGCATAGACAGATACACACGCACACACACAACGTGCACTCTAATAACCCACAGCAGGGCTGCATGTTTGTGTATGCGGGTGCCATTAAGAGTGAGAGGTCTGCCCTCCCACTCATCCCTCTGTCACAGAGTGGTGTCGCACTAAATGTCCTCCCTCCAATAGAATACGATCACACATCAGTCAAACTGTCCTGCTCCACTTCCTCTCCTGCTGAGAGGACAAATACCGCCCATTTCCCTCCGTTCAATTCACACACCACACACACAGACACACACAGACACACACACACACACACACACACACACACACACACACACACACACACACACACACACACACACACACACACACACGCACATACATCATTCAAGCCTCTACTTACTCTTTAGTCTTTTGTTTCTAGTAGGTCACATGTTGTTTCCACCGATTCAGCTGGAGTCCCACTGAACCACTACACTCTCCTGGTTCAGAAACCTACCGATATCCATAGATTTCTCTTCCTAACGCTACGTTTGGAAAATATCTTTAGCTCACAAATGGCTCTTGTCTCACGTACTGGTGTCATAGCTCACACACACAAACACAACAATCCATCATCTCTTTTTCAATTTATGCCTTTTTCTTCCGTCCTTCCCTAAATGGGATCAAGGTAAAGTGTGTGTACGTGAGTGTGTGTGTGTGTGTGTTTCTGTGAGCATATGTCCGACAATCACTCATTCTATAAGTTGAGCTTGGTCCTTCAGTAGTTCCTCTGCTCAGTCATATACTGTGTGTTTGTTTTTGTACCTAATATGATGCCGTTGGGGAACGCAGGCGGCTGCCACACCACTCTAACTGATGTTGATCGAACTTCTGGAAACACCATCCGGACTGGAGGGCCTGGTACTGGAAAAGAAAAACAGAAGAAGACTTTAACTGCATTATTAAAGCCTATAAAAAACCTCCATAAAAGATGCTTAAATGAACTCCTCTGGCTTTTACGTTCTAACACATCACTGTGTTCATTTAAATGTTCACAAATGCAAATTAACACATACATAAACTGAGTGTCCTGCACATTCCAAGAGGGACTTGTAAAGGATGCAGTGTAGAAATTGTAATTTTCTTTAAGCGTCAAACGAACTTTGTCTCTGTTGCTGATAAAACTACATGTTCCACCTCAGCAAATACATGTCAGCCCGAGTGTCTTCATTTCTGAGCACACAGTCTGTGTGTGTGTGTGTGTGTGTGTGTGTGTGTGTGTGTGTGTGTGTGTGTGTAAAAGAGACAAACAGGATAGGGCTTCATTATACATCGCCAGAAATTGACTTTGCTGTTCTTGTTTTATCCTGAAATGAGAAAAACTTTTCAAACGTGACACTGCTTGATAGAGGATGACTTGGTGTGTGTGTTCATGTGTGTGTGTGTGCTCATCATTTTGTTGTATGTAATTCCAATGAAGGAAAGCATGGTGCTGCATCCTGAAAACTCTGTAATGCTTCCTGTGCCTCTGTGCCTGGTGCTGCACATTAAAACAACTTACCTTCATACGTCTATGAACACAACAGACAAAAACAGCAGGAGGTTGCAGACGGTGGCAAACGTCTGGATCAAACTACAGGAAAGAGGTCAGTAATTCCTACCATCTTCCTTGGTTCGGAGCAGAATGGGGTTGCTGGGTGGGCCGTCGCCAAGCCGAGTGAACGCCAGAACCCGCAGGACATACATTGTGTATTTTTGGAGGGCTCCAAGGAGCAGTGAAAAATTTCCTTCCCCTTCCACCACCTGAACCTTCGGGGAACCTTCAGAGTCCTTTTCATCGTACCACACCTGTGCATGAGAATAATAAAACCAAACAAACAGGACGTTAATAAAGATAACAGAATTCAGCATTTTAAATGATCCTCAGTTTGACACCATTACGGCTACGTCTAGTGCTAATACTACTGCAATATTCCTATAACAATACTACAGTAATATCAACATAGTTAATGATTTTTAAAATACTCAACGATGACTTGCACTAAAAACTAAAAAAACTATCAGTGAGCCTAATAATTAAAAAACACAGACTGCTTTTATTGACAAATGCGCAAATAACTATTAAAATGATTGTATGAATAATTGTCAACTTTCACATTCTTAGATTTACAAAAATTCACAAATTTGACTTTAAAAAGAATGATTACAATAGTAATATTCACTAATCCCATAAACACCATAAAACACACCGAACGAATGGACTGGGTAAGACAACACTAAAGAGATTTTAACACTTTAAGCTATTGCTGTAAAACTTGATTCGGTCATTCTTGAGCCAGAAACTTGAGCAACTTCACATGAAACAGCCCGCTGTAGGCCTCTGCTGACCAACAGTTTAGTGGCTCGGGTAAACAGCTGTTTACTGTGCTGGTAGCTCATATAAAGGCTAAAAGTTAGCTTGCCAATAAAAAGCAAAAGAATAACAAGAAAAATTTAGCTTTTTTGTTGGCATCATGATGGAGCCTGGAAGTAAAGGTATGACTGTAATGTCTTTGGAGTCAAAACAAAGAGCTAAAACCAGAGTGAACAGAGTGAACATCGGCACGGCCTACACTAGTTAGAAGGAGCTAAAGGAGGCTACCAAATGATGGACTGATGGTGCCCTGGCTTTGTTGCTACAAGACTTGTAAGTAATAATATATTTTGTGTTAAACAGTGTGGATATTTTTACTTTGTGGGTTATTTAGTACCAGTTTGCTCGTGTTAGCGTTAGCTCTTTGTTAGCACTAGCTACAGCAGGCTGCAGCAGGGTTGTTAATGATGGTTGTAATTTTGCTTTCATCCAGTAGGAGGCATAAACAGGAAACTTGGTGTTGCTTCAAGACGTACAGGGATGGATCTGTGTTGCCACATGCAACTGAAGGATTGTGGGATTAAATTTGTGCAGATGGACGCGAATAAAAGATTTCTAAAAAGTGAAAAAATATCCATCTGAGATGATGCTACAACTCTAATCCCTGAAATACAAGCTGCAAGCAACAAACTTCAGATTGATTCCTTTTATTTTTGAGATTGCACCAAATTGGCAGCTTTTCTGTAAAACGTGGACACAAGTTTACAAAATGAATAAAATACAGAGAATTTCTGCTGGTGAGCTGACCGTTGCACACTTTAAAAACAAGAAAATAATCAGAGTTTTAACAAACTGAGTATAAAAAATAAGATTGAGTCAAAATTAACATACAAACATTTTAAATTATTGTGAAATTATAGGACTGCTGTAAATCTGATTTATGCCCACTAAGGATGTATTTATAAAATCAGGTCATAACTTTCATCATCTGAACAAGAATGAATGTTATCAGAAATCAACCAAGCTAATAAAGTCTAATGCAGGAACGACAACAACACCAGCGCCCACGTGAGAAAACTAAAATCAGAACACACTGTGCCTCCGTTGGAAAGAACATCCTGCATGAAAATGCGTCGAGAACTGCTCTTTCTTGTTCTTTCTCTGATTTTCCTTTAATGCTCGTGAATTCGAACACATGCAGTGGAGGAAAATGTCACCTTAAGCATAAACGTCTAAAAATGAAAACAGACATAAGTCACGCACAGCGGGATGAAGGGGCAACTTATTCAACATTTAGTGGGGGGCGGAAGGTGTTAAAGAGTCGCTGCTGGCAGCCACTTCCCATCTATTGACATGGCGAGCATGCAGCTCAGTGGGAAGGCACGAGAAATCACTCAGATGTGGGGTGTGATGTGCTTTAGGCATGGTCGATGATGACCTGGATTTCATGCATTAAAAAAAAAAGAAATGAAGAAACACTTGAGCTCATTTATATCAAACAGCCTCAGCTTGTTGTCTTTTGTAAATGCTTGTAACACACAACTGTCTTTGGGCGGGGGGGATAAGGACACTTCTTTTCTGCAAGCAAAAAAAAATGTTGGTTTTTTGATGGATGCTAAGTGTGACGCTCTCTGAAAAGCAACATAGCAAAAATTACAGGTACATATTTTCGCTTGATGTTGAAATTGAGATAAATGCTGCGGGGCGTGCGTATTCTTAGAGAATGTCAGCTCTGGAACCTTTTAGGCTTGCAACTCAACAGACTTCCCTGCTTTACTTCAGAAAAAACAAGAGGAGGGTGAGCGCTAACGTGAAAAATGTGGACAGACTGCAGGATGTGTTGCTTAAGTGAGTTGGAAGCCAGGCCTAAAATACTAATGCTGACGCTCCACAGCCCTTTCAGACTGAATACACACAAGGAAACGCTGTGACTCCTGCTAAAACGGCAGTTCATGTTTTAGGATTGCAGATAATGCGCCTTCCAAAACCAACAGCCTTTATGGATTTTTGTCCATTTTTCTTACGGATAATCCACCTATTGTTCATCCTACAAGCTGACACAAACTGCTGTTTTATCAATGCATTAAAGCCTCCCTAATATTCATGTATACCGTTACACACATGCCCCCAAACACTACTGCAGCAGCTGGGAGTCTTTAAATGCAGCCGTGCAGGAGAAACAAACTGGAGCAGTTACAGGATATTACATCATTCATCCTGCATCAGATTTTTGGGTTCATGTCTTCGCGCATTT